ACTCACAGTGACCCACAGAGACCCACACTCACAGAGACCCACACTCACAGAGACCCATACTCACAGAGACCCATACTCATAGAGACCCACACTCATAAAGACCCATACTCATAGAGACCCATACTCGTGTAGACCCACATTCATAGAGACCCACACTCACAGAGACTCATAGAGACCCATACTCACAGAGACCCATACTCATAGAGACCCACACTCATAGAGACCCATACTCATAGAGACCCACACTCATAGAGACCCACACTCATAGAGACCCACACTCACAGAGACCCATACTCATAGAGACCCATACTCATAGAGACCCACAATCATAGAGACCCACACTCACAGAGACCCATACTCACAGAGACCCACACTCATAGAGACCCATACTCACAGAGACTCATACTCATAGAGACCCACACTCACAGAGACTCATAGAGACCCATACTCATAGAGACCCATACTCATAGAGACCCACACTCATAGAGACTCATAGAGACCCACACTCACAGAGACCCACACTCACAGAGACTCATAGAGACCCATACTCATAGAGACCCACACTCACAGAGACTTATAGAGACCCATACTCATAGAGACCCACACTCACAGAGACTCACACTCATAGAGACCCATACAGAGACCCACACTCACAGAGACCCATACTCACAGAGACCCACAATCATAGAGACCCACACTCACAGAGATCCACAATCATAGTGACCCAAACTCACAGAGACTCACAGAGACCCACACTCATAGAGACCCACAATCATAGAGACCCACACTCACAGAGACCCATACTCACAGAGACCCATACTCACAGAGACTCATAGAGACCCACACTCTCAGAGACCCACACTCACAGAGACTCACAGAGACCCACAGAGACCCACACTCACAGAGACCCACACTCACAGAGACCCACAGAGACCCACACTCACAGAGACTCACAGAGACCCACACTCACAGAGACTCACAGAGACCCACACTCACAGAGACTCACAGAGACCCACACTCACAGAGACTCACAGAGACCCACACTCACAGAGACCCATAGAGACCCACACTCACAGAGACCCATACTCACAGAGACCCACACTCATAGAGACCCATACTCACAGAGACTCATACTCATAGAGACCCACACTCACAGAGACTCATAGAGACCCATACTCATAGAGACCCATACTCATAGAGACCCACACTCATAGAGACTCATAGAGACCCACACTCACAGAGACCCACACTCACAGAGATTCATAGAGACCCATACTCATAGAGACCCACACTCACAGAGACTTATAGAGACCCATACTCATAGAGACCCACACTCACAGAGACTCACACTCATAGAGACCCATACAGAGACCCACACTCACAGAGACCCATACTCACAGAGACCCACAATCATAGAGACCCACACTCACAGAGATCCACAATCATAGTGACCCAAACTCACAGAGACTCACAGAGACCCACACTCATAGAGACCCACAATCATAGAGACCCACACTCACAGAGACCCATACTCACAGAGACCCATACTCACAGAGACTCATAGAGACCCACACTCTCAGAGACCCACACTCACAGAGACTCACAGAGACCCACAGAGACCCACACTCACAGAGACCCACACTCACAGAGACCCACAGAGCCCCACACTCACAGAGACTCACAGAGACCCACACTCACAGAGACTCACAGAGACCCACACTCACAGAGACTCACAGAGACCCACACTCACAGAGACTCACAGAGACCCACACTCACAGAGACCCACAGAGACCCACACTCACAGAGACTCACAGAGACCCACACTCACAGAGACTCACAGAGACCCACACTCACAGAGACTCACAGAGACCCACACTCACAGAGACCCACAGAGACTCACAGAGACCCACACTCACAGAGACTCACAGAGACCCACACTCACAGAGACTCACAGAGACCCACACTCACAGAGACTCACAGAGACGCACACTCACAGAGACCCACACTCACAGAGACTCACAGAGACCCACACTCACAGAGACTCACAGAGACCCACACTCACAGAGACTCACAGAGACCCACACTCACAGAGACTCACAGAGACCCACACTCACAGAGACTCACAGAGACCCACACTCACAGAGACCCACAGAGACCCACACTCACAGAGACTCACAGAGACCCACACTCACAGAGACCCACAGAGACCCACACTCACAGAGACTCACAGAGACCCACACTCACAGAGACTCACAGAGACCCACACTCACAGAGACCCACAGAGACCCACACTCACAGAGACCCACACTCACAGAGACTCACAGAGACCCACACTCACAGAGACTCACAGAGACCCTCACTCACAGAGACTCACAGAGACCCACACTCACAGAGACTCACAGAGACCCACACTCACAGAGACCCACAGAGACCCACACTCATAGAGACCCACACTCACAGAGACTCACAGAGTCCCACACTCACAGAGACCCACAGAGACCCACACTCACAGAGACCCACACTCACAGAGACCCACAGAGACCCACACTCACAGAGACCCACACTCACAGAGACCCACAGAGACCCACACTCATAGAGACCCATACTCACAGAGACTCACAGAGACCCACACTCACAGAGACTCACAGTGACCCACACTGACAGAGACCCACACTCACAGAGACTCACAGAGACCCACACTCACAGAGACTCACAGAGACCCACACTCACAGAGACCCATACTCACAGAGACCCACAGAGACCCACACTCACAGAGACCCACACTCACAGTGACCCACAGAGACCCACACTCACAGAGACCCACACTCACAGTGACCCACAGAGACCCACACTCACAGTGACCCACAGAGACCCACACTCACAGAGACCCACACTCACAGTGACCCACACCCACAGAGACTCACACTCATAGAGACCCACAGAGACCCACACTCACAGAGACCCACACTCACAGAGACCCACACTCACAGAGACTCACAGAGATCCACAGAGACCCACACTCACAGAGACTCACAGAGATCCACACTCACAGAGACCCACAGAGACCCACACTCACAGATACTCATAGAGACCCACACTCATAGAGACTCACAGAGACCCACACTCACAGAGACTCACAGAGACCCACACTCACAGAGACCCACACTGACCCACACTCACAGAGACTCACAGAGACCCACACTCACAGAGACTCACAGAGACCCACACTCACAGAGACTCACAGAGACCCACACTCACAGAGACCCACACTCACAGAGACTCACAGAGACCCACACTCACAGAGACTCACAGAGATCCACACTCACAGAGACTCACAGAGACCCACACTCACAGAGACTCACACTCACAGAGACTCACAGAGACCCACACTCACAGAGACTCATAGAGACCCACACTCACAGAGACTCACAGAGACCCATACTCACAGAGACCCACACTCACAGAGACCCACACTCATAGAGACCCACAGAGACTCATAGAGACCCATACTCACAGAGACCCACACTCACAGAGACCCACAGAGACTCATAGAGACCCATACTCACAGAGACCCACACTCACAGAGACCCACAGAGACCCACAGAGACCCATACTCACAGAGACCCACAGACACTCACAGAGACCCACAGAGACCCACACTCACAGAGACCCATACTCACAGAGACCCACACTCACAGAGACCCACACTCACAGAGACCCACACTCACAGAGACTCATAGAGACCCACACTCACAGACACTCACAGAGACTCACAGAGACCCACACTCACAGACACTCACAGAGACTCACAGAGACCCACACTCACAGACACTCACAGAGACTCACAGAGACCCACACTCACAGAGACCCACAGAGACCCACAGAGACCCATACTCACAGAGACCCACAGAGACCCACAGACACTCACAGAGACCCACAGAGACCCACACTCACAGAGACCCACACTCACAGAGACTCATAGAGACCCACACTCACAGACACTCACAGAGACTCACAGAGACCCACAGAGACCCACAGACACTCACAGAGACCCACAGAGACCCACACTCAGAGTCCTATACTCACAGAGATCCACACTCACAGAGACCCACACTCACAGAGACTCATAGAGACCCACACTCACAGACACTCACAGAGACTCACAGAGACCCATACCCCCACACGGGTGGTGGCGGGTTTAACGACGGCATCACTCACGCGATCAAACCGAGCAGAACAAAAACCGCTAATCACGGATCGCGTCCGTCGCTAAAGTCCTACCAACGTATTAAACTACTCCCCCTCCTCCTCCTCCTCCTCCCCCTCCTCCTCCTCCTCCTCCCCCTCCTCCTCCTCCTCCTCCCCCTCCTCCTCCTCCTCCCCCTCCTCCTCCTCCTCCTCCCCCTCCTCCTCCTCCACCTCCTCCACCTCCTCCACCTCCTCCCCCTCCCCCTCCTCCTCCTCCTCCCCCTCCTCCCCCTCCTCCTCCTCCTCCTCCTCCTCCACCTCCTCCACCTCCTCCCCCTCCTCCTCCACCTCCTCCACCTCCTCCTCCTCCCCCTCCTCCTCCTCCTCCTCCTCCTCCACCTCCTCCTCCTCCTCCTCCTCCACCTCATCGTCCTCCTCCACCTCCTCCACCTCCTCCACCTCCTCCTCCACCTCCTCCACCTCCTCCTCCTCCTCCCCCTCCTCCTCCTCCACCTCCTCCTCCTCCTCCCCCTCCTCCTCCTCCTCCCCCTCCTCCTCCTCCTCCTCCTCCTCCTCCACCTCCTCCTCCTCCCCCTCCTCCTCCCCCTCCTCCTCCTCCTCCTCCTCCACCTCCTCCCCCTCCTCCTCCTCCTCCTCCTCCCCCTCCTCCTCCTCCTCCTCCTCCCCCTCCTCCTCCTCCTCCTCCTCCTCCTCGTCCTCCTCCTCCTCCTCCTCCCCCTCCTCCTCCTCCACCTCCTCCACCTCCTCCACCTCCTCCTCCTCCTCCTCCTCCTCCTCCTCCTCCTCCTCCCCTGCCCCAGCTCCTCGTTGAGGTCGGAGGTGTTGGCCACGGCCGGCTCGTGGCTGTTGGGATCGCGGAGACGCAGGTCCCAGCCGACGAATCGCGAGCCCAGGAACTTCTGCATCTCCACCGAGACGTAGAGGGACACGGGGATGACGTAGTTGTAGAGGACCATGAAGGAAAGGAAGTCCACCAGCATCTCCAGAGGCTGCGGAGACACGGGGGAGACACGGAGGGGGGGGGGGGGGGGGAGACACGGGGGGGGGGGGGGGTGAGACACGGGGGAGACAAGGGAGAGACACAGGGGAGATACGGGGGAGACACGGGGGGTTACACGGGAGAGACACGGGGGGGGGGGGGGGAGATACGTGGGAGACACGGGGGAGACACGGGGGAGACACGCAGGGGGGGGAGACACGGGGGAGACAAAGGGGGGACACGGGGGAGACACGGGAGAGACACGGGGGAGACACGGTGGTGGTAGTGGTAGCGGTGGTAGTGGTGGTGGTGGTGGTAGTGGTGGTGGTAGTGGTGGTGTTGGTAGTGGTGGTGGTGGTAGTGGTAGTGGTGGTTGTGGTAGTGGTGGTTGTGGTAGTGGTGTTGGTAGTGGTAGTAGTAGTGGTGGTGGTGGTAGTGGTGGTGGTAGTGGTTGTGGTAGTGGTGGTAGTGGTAGCGGTGGTGGTAGTGGTGGTGGTAGTAGTGGTGGTGGTAGTGGTAGTGGTGGTGGTAGTGGTAGTAGTGGTAGTGGTGGTAGTGGTGGTAGTGGTGGTTGTGGTAGTGGTAGGGGTTGTGGTAGTGGTTGTGGTAGTGGTGGTGGTAGTAGTGGTGGTAGTGGTGGTGGTAGTGGTGGTGGTGGTAGTGGTGGTGGTGGTAGTGGTGGTGGTAGTGGTGGTGGTAGTGGTGGTAGTGGTAGTGGTTGTGGTAGTGGTGGTGTTGGTGGTGGTAGTGGTGGTGGTGGTGGTAGTGGTAATGGTGGTAGTGGTAGTGGTGGTGATAGTGGTGGCGGTGGTGGTGGTAGTGGTGGTGGTGGCGGTGGTGGTGGCGGTGGTGGTGGAAGTGGTGGTGGTGCTAGTGGTAGTAGTTGTGGTGGTAGGAGTGGTGGTAGTGGTGGTGGTGGTAGTGGTGGTGTTGGTAGTGGTGGTGGTGGTAGTGGTAGTGGTGGTTGTGGTAGTGGTGTTGGTAGTGGTAGTAGTAGTGGTGGTGGTGGTGGTAGTGGTAGTGGTTGTGGTAGTAGTGGTAGTGGTTGTAGTGGTGGTAGTGGTTGTAGTAGTGGTTGTGGTGTTAGTAGTTGTGGTAGTTGTGGTGGTTGTGGTTGTGGTAGTGGTGGTTGTGTCTCACCCTCCACGCGCCGTCCTCGTGCCTGGCCCTGCCGTTGTACCACGGAGCGGCGCTGCCGGACTCGGTGACGAACTTCATCACGGAGCTCACGAGAGCCATGGAGACGAGGAGACACAGGTAGACAAGCAGGAACGAGTTCATGGACCTGAGACACAGAGACACAGAGACACAGGTAGACAAGCAGGAACGAGTTCATGGACCTGAGACACGGAGACACAGAGACACAGAGACACACACAGAGATACAGAGACACAGGTAGACAAGCAGGAACGAGTTCATGGACCTGAGACACGGAGACACAGAGACACAGAGACACAGGTAGACAAGCAGGAACGAGTTCATGGACCTGAGACACGGAGACACAGAGACACAGGTAGACAAGCAGGAACGAGTTCATGGACCTGAGACACGGAGACACAGAGACACGGAGATACAGAGACACACACAGACACACAGAGACACAGAGACACAGGTAGACAAGCAGGAACGAGTTCATGGACCTGAGACACGGAGACACGGAGACACGGAGACACAGGTAGACAAGCAGGAACGAGTTCATGGACCTGAGACACGGAGACACAGAGATACGGAGACACAGAGACACACACAGAGACACAGAGACACAGGTAGACAAGCAGGAACGAGTTCATGGACCTGAGACACAGAGACACAGAGACACGGAGACACAGAGACACACACAGAGACACAGGTAGACAAGCAGGAAGGAGTTCATGGACCTGAGACACGGAGACACAGAGACACGGAGACACAGAGACACACACAGAGACACAGAGACACAGGTAGACAAGCAGGAACGAGTTCATGGACCTGAGACACACATAGAGACACGGAGACACAGCTAGACAAGCAGGAACGAGTTCATGGACCTGAGACAAGGAGAGACAGAGACACAGAGACACAGAGACACAGAGAGACAGAGAGACAGAGACACAGAGACACAGGTAGACAAGCAGGAACGAGTTCATGGACCTGAGACACAGAGACACAGAGACACAGGTAGACAAGCAGGAACGAGTTCATGGACCTGAGACACGGAGACACAGAGACACAGAGACACAGGTAAACAAGCAGGAACGAGTTCATGGACCTGAGACACGGAGACACGGAGACACAGAGACACAGGTAGACAAGCAGGAACGAGTTCATGGACCTGAGACACGGAGACACAGAGACACGGAGACACAGAGACACACACAGAGACACAGCAGGAACGAGTTCATGGACCTGAGACACGGAGACACAGAGACACAGAGACACAGAGACACACACAGAGACACAGAGACACAGGTAGACAAGCAGGAACGAGTTCATGGACCTCATACACAGAGACACAGAGACACAGAGACGTAGAGACACAGGTAGACAAGCAGGAACGAGTTCATGGACCTGAGACAGGGAGACAGAGAGACAGGGAGACAGAGAGACAGGGAGACAGGGAGACAGGGAGACAAGGAGACACGGAGACACGGAGACAGGGAGACAGAGAGACAGGGAGACAGAGAGACAAGGAGACACGGAGACACGGAGACAGGTAGACACGGAGACACGGAGACAGGGAGACAGAGAGATAGGGAGACATAGAGACACGGAGACAGGGAGACATGGAGACACGGAGACAGGGAGACATGGAGACACGGAGACACGGAGACAGGCAGACAAGGAGACAAGGAGACACGGAGACACGGAGACAGAGAGACAGGGAGACAGGGAGACAGAGAGACGGGGAGACAGAGAGACAGGGAGACAGGGAGACAGGGAGACACGGAGACAGGGAGACAGGGAGACAGGGAGACAGAGAGACAGGGAGACACAGAGACACGGAGAAAGAAAGACACAGGTAGACACAGAGACACACAGACACGGAGACACAGAGACACACAGACACAGAGACACGGGTAGACAAGCAGGAACGAGTTCATAGACCTGTGACACAGAGACACGGAGACACAGAGACACAGAGACACAGTTAGAGAAGCAGGAACGAGTTCATGGACCTGAGACACGGAGACACAGAGACACAGAGAGACAAGCAGGAACGAGTTCATGGACCTGAGACACGGAGACACAGAGACACAGAGACACAGAGACACGGAGACACGGAGACACAGAGACACGGAGACACAGATACACAGGTAGACAAGCAGGAACGAGTTCATGGACCTGAGACACGGAGACACAGAGACACGGAGACACAGAGACACAGAGACACAGGTAGACAAGCAGGAACGAGTTCATGGACCTGAGACACGGAGACACAGAGACACGGAGACACAGAGACACAGAGACACAGGTAGACAAGCAGGAACGAGTTCATGGACCTGAGACACAGAGACACACAGACACAGAGACACAGAGACACAGAGACACAGAGACACACAGACACGGAGAAACAGAGACACAGGTAGACAAGTAGGAACGAGTTCATGGACCTGAGACACCGAGACACAGAGACACGGAGACACAGAGACACAAGAGACACAGGTAGACACAGAGACACAGAGACACGGAGACACAGAGACACGGAGACACAGAGACACAGAGACACGGAGACACAGGTAGACAAGCAGGAACGAGTTCATGGACCTGAGACACAGAGACACAGAGACACAGGTAGACAAGCAGGAACGAGTTCATGGACCTGAGACACAGAGACACACACAAAGACACGGAGACACGGAGACACAGAGACACAGGTAGACAAGCAGGAACGAGTTCATGGACCTGAGACACGGAGACACAGAGACACAGAGACACGGAGACACAGAGACACAGAGACACAGGTAGACAAGCAGGAATGAGTTCATGGACCTGAGACACAGAGACACACAGATACAGAGACACAGAGACACAGGTAGACACAGAGACATGGAGACACAGAAACATGGAGACACAGAGAGACAGAGACACGGAGACACGAAGACACGGAGACACAGAGACACGGAGACACAGAGACACAGAGACACGGAGACAAAGAGACACGGAGACACGGAGACATGGAGACATGGAGACACGGAGACACAGAGACACACAGACACAGAGACACAGAGACACAGGTAGACAAGCGGGAAGGAGTTCATAGACCTGAGACACAGAGACACAGAGACACGGAGACACAGAGACACAGAGACACAGAGACACGGAGACAGAGAGACACAGAGACACAGAGACATGGAGACAGGGAGACACAGAGACAGGGAGACAGGGGGACAGGGAGACAAGGAGACAGGGAGACAGGGAGACAAGGAGACACGGAGACAGGGAGACAGGGAGACAGAGAGACAGAGAGACAAGGAGACACGGAGACACGGAGACAGAGAGACACAGAGATACAGAGACATGGAGACAGGGAGACAGGGAGACACAGAGACAGGGAGACAGGGGGACAGGGAGACAAGGAGACAGGGAGACAGGGAGACAAGGAGACACGGAGACAGGGAGACAGGGAGACAGAGAGACAGGGAGACAGAGAGACAAGGAGACACGGAGACACGGAGACAGGTAGACACGGAGACACGGAGACAGGGAGACAGAGAGATAGGGAGACATAGAGACACGGAGACAGGGAGACATGGAGACACGGAGACAGGGAGACATGGAGACATGGAGACACGGAGAAAGGTAGACACGGAGAAACGGAGACAGGGAGACAGAGAGACAGGGAGACATGGAGACACGGAGACAGGGAGACATGGTGACACGGAGACACGGAGACAGGTAGACAAAGAGACACGGAGACAGAGAGACAGGGAGACAGGGAGACAGAGAGACAGGGAGACAGAGAGACAAGGAGACAGGGAGACAAGGAGACAGGGAGACAGGGAGACACGGAGACAGGGAGACACGGAGACAGGGAGACAGGGAGACAGGGAGACAGAGAGACAGAGAGACAGGGAGACACGGAGACAAGGAGACAAAGAGACACGGAGACACGGAGACATGGAGACACAGAGACACACAGACACAGAGACACAGAGACACAGAGACACAGGTAGACAAGCAGGAAGGAGTTCATGGACCTGAGACATGGAGACACAGAGACACAGAGACACAGAGACACGGAGACACAGAGACACAGAGACACGGAGACAGAGAGACACAGAGACACAGAGACACGGAGACAGGGAGACACAGAGACAGGGAGACAGGGGGACAGGGAGACAGAGAGACAGGGAGACAGAGAGACAGGGAGACAAGGAGACAGGGAGGCAGGGAGAAAAGGAAACACGGAGACAGGGAGACAGAGAGACAGAGAGACAGGGAGACAGGGAGACAGAGAGACACAGAGACAGGGAGACAGGGAGACTGAGAGACAGGGAGACAGGGAGACACGGAGACAAGGAGACACAGAGACAGGGAGACAGGGAGAACGAGAGACAGAGAGACAGGGAGACAGAGAGACACGGAGACAGAGAGACAGGGAGACAGAGAGACAGGGAGACAGAGAGACAGGGAGACAGGGAGACAGAGAGACAGGGAGACACAGAGACACGGAGACACGGATACACGAAGACAGTGAGACAGGGAGACAGGGAGACAGAGAGACAGGGAGACAGAGAGACAGGGAGACAGGGAGACAAGGAGACAGGGAGACAGAGAGACAGGGAGACAGGTAGACACGGAGACACGGAGACAGAGAGACAGGGAGACAGGGAGACAGGGAGAAAGACGGACACGGAGACAAGGAGACAAGGAGACACGGAGACAGGGAGACAGAGAGACAGGGAGACACAGAGACACGGAGAGAGAAAGACACAGGTAGACACAGAGACACACAGACACGGAGACACAGAGACACAGAGACAGAGACACAGGTAGACAAGCAGGAACGAGTTCATGGACCTGAGACACCGAGACACAGAGACACGGAGACACAGAGACACAAGAGACACAGGTAGACACAGAGACACACAGACACGGAGACACAGAGACACGGAGACACAGAGACACAGAAACACAGAGACACGGAGACACAGGTAGACAAGCAGGAACGAGTTCATGGACCTGAGACACAGAGACACAGAGACACAGGTAGACAAGCAGGAACGAGTTCATGGACCTGAGACACGGAGACACAGAGACACAGGTAGACAAGCAGGAACGAGTTCATGGACCTGAGACACGGAGACACGGAGACACAGAGACACAGGTAGACAAGCAGGAACGAGTTCATGGACCTGAGACACAGAGACACAGAGACACGGAGACACAGAGACACAGAGGCACAGAGACACAGGTAGACAAGCAGGAACGAGTTCATGGACCTGAGACACAGAGACACACAGACACAGAGACACAGGTAGACACAGAGACACGGAGACACAGAGACATGGAGACACAGAGACACAGAGACACGGAGACACGAAGACACGGAGACACAGAGACACGGAGACACGGAGACACGGAGACACGGAGACACGGAGACACGGAGACACGGAGACACGGAGACATGGAGACACGGAGACACAGAGACACAGGTAGACAAGCAGGAAGGAGTTCATGGACCTGAGACACGGAGACACAGAGACACAGAGACACGGAGACACAGAGACACAGAGACACGGAGACAGAGTGACACAGAGACACAGAGACACAGAGACACGGAGACAGGGAGATACAGAGACAGGGAGACAGTGGGACAGGGAAACAGAGAGACAGGGAGACAGAGAGACAGGGAGACAAGGAGACAGGGAGACAGGGAGACAAGGAGACACAGAGACAGGGAGACAGGGAGACAGAGAGACAGGGAGACAGAGAGACAAGGAGACACGGAGACACGGAGACAGGTAGACACGGAGACACGGAGACAGGGAGACAGAGAGATAGGGAGACATAGAGACACGGAGACAGGGAGACATGGAGACACGGAGACAGGGAGACATGGAGACACGGAGACACGGAGACAGGCAGACAAGGAGACAAGGAGACACGGAGACACGGAGACAGAGAGACAGGGAGACAGGGAGACAGAGAGACGGGAAGACAGAGAGACAGGGAGACAGGGAGACAGGGAGACACGGAGACAGGGAGACAGGGAGACAGGGAGACAGGGAGACAGAGAGACAGGGAGACACAGAGACACGGAGAAAGAAAGACACAGGTAGACACAGAGACACACAGACACGGAGACACAGAGACACACAGACACAGAGACACGGGTAGACAAGCAGGAACGAGTTCATAGACCTGTGACACAGAGACACGGAGACACAGAGACACGGAGACAAAGAGACACGGAGACACGGAGACACGGAGACATGGAGACACGGAGACACAGAGACACAGGTAGACAAGCAGGAAGGAGTTCATGGACCTGAGACACGGAGACACAGAGACACAGAGACACGGAGACACAGAGACACAGAGACACGGAGACAGAGTGACACAGAGACACAGAGACACAGAGACACGGAGACAGGGAGACACAGAGACAGGGAGACAGTGGGACAGGGAGACAGAGAGACAGGGAGACAGAGAGACAGGGAGACAGGGAGACAGGGAGACAAGGAGACACGGAGACACGGAGACAGGGAGACAGAGAGACAGGGAGACAGAGAGACAAGGAGACACGGAGACACGGAGACAGGTAGACACGGAGACACGGAGACAGGGAGACAGAGAGATAGGGAGACATAGAGACACGGAGACAGGGAGACATGGAGACACGGAGACAGGGAGACATGGAGACACGGAGACACGGAGACAGGCAGACAAGGAGACAAGGAGACACGGAGACACGGAGACAGAGAGACAGGGAGACAGGGAGACAGAGAGACGGGGAGACAGAGAGACAGGGAGACAGGGAGACAGGGAGACACGGAGACAGGGAGACAGGGAGACAGGGAGACAGAGAGACAGGGAGACACAGAGACACGGAGAAAGAAAGACACAGGTAGACACAGAGACACACAGACACGGAGACACAGAGACACACAGACACAGAGACACGGGTAGACAAGCAGGAACGAGTTCATAGACCTGTGACACAGAGACACGGAGACACAGAGACACAGAGACACAGTTAGAGAAGCAGGAACGAGTTCATGGACCTGAGACACGGAGACACAGAGACATAGAGAGACAAGCAGGAACGAGTTCATGGACCTGAGACACGGAGACACAGAGACACAGAGACACAGAGACACGGAGACACGGAGACACAGAGACACGGAGACACAGATACACAGGTAGACAAGCAGGAACGAGTTCATGGACCTGAGACACGGAGACACAGAGACACGGAGACACAGAGACACAGAGACACAGGTAGACAAGCAGGAACGAGTTCATGGACCTGAGACACGGAGACACAGAGACACGGAGACACAGAGACACAGAGACACAGGTAGACAAGCAGGAACGAGTTCATGGACCTGAGACACAGAGAAACAGAGACACGGAGACACAGAGACACAGGTAGACACAGAGACACACAGACACGGAGACACAGAGACACAGGTAGACAAGTAGGAACGAGTTCATGGACCTGAGACACCGAGACACAGAGACACGGAGACACAGAGACACAAGAGACACAGGTAGACACAGAGACACAGAGACACGGAGACACAGAGACACGGAGACACAGAGACACGGAGACACAGGTAGACAAGCAGGAACGAGTTCATGGACCTGAGACATGGAGACACAGAGACACAGGTAGACAAGCAGGAACGAGTTCATGGACCTGAGACACAGAGACACACACAAAAACACGGAGACACGGAGACACAGAGACACAGGTAGACAAGCAGGAACGAGTTCATGGACCTGAGACACAGAGACACAGAGACACAGAGACACGGAGACACAGAGACACAGAGACACAGGTAGACAAGCAGGAACGAGTTCATGGACCTTAGACACAGAGACACACAGATACAGAGACACAGAGACACAGGTAGACACAGAGACATGGAGACACAGAAACATGGAGACACAGAGAGACAGAGACACGGAGACACGAAGACACGGAGACACAGAGACACGGAGACACAGAGACACAGAGACACGGAGACAAAGAGACACGGAGACACGGAGACATGGAGACATGGAGACACGGAGACACAGAGACACACAGACACAGAGACACAGAGACACAGGTAGACAAGCGGGAAGGAGTTCATAGACCTGAGACACAGAGACACAGAGACACAGAGACACGGAGACACAGAGACACAGAGACACAGAGACACGGAGACAGAGAGACACAGAGACACAGAGACATGGAGACAGGGAGACACAGAGACAGGGAGACAGGGGGACAGGGAGACAAGGAGACAGGGAGACAGGGAGACAAGGAGACACGGAGACAGGGAGACAGGGAGACAGAGAGACAGAGAGACAAGGAGACACGGAGACACAGAGACAGAGAGACACAGAGATACAGAGACATGGAGACAGGGAGACAGGGAGACACAGAGACAGGGAGACAGGGGGACAGGGAGACAAGGAGACAGGGAGACAGGGAGACAAGGAGACACGGAGACAGGGAGACAGGGAGACAGAGAGACAGGGAGACAGAGAGACAAGGAGACACGGAGACACGGAGACAGGTAGACACGGAGACACGGAGACAGGGAGACAGAGAGATAGGGAGACATAGAGACACGGAGACAGGGAGACATGGAGACACGGAGACAGGGAGACATGGAGACATGGAGACACGGAGAAAGGTAGACACGGAGAAACGGAGACAGGGAGACAGAGAGACAGGGAGACATGGAGACACGGAGACAGGGAGACATGGTGACACGGAGACACGGAGACAGGTAGACAAGGAGACACGGAGACAGAGAGACAGGGAGACAGGGAGACAGAGAGACAAGGAGACAGAGAGACAAGGAGACAGGGAGACAAGGAGACAGGGAGACAGGGAGACACGGAGACAGAGAGACACGGAGACAGAGAGACAGGGAGACACGGAGACAGAGAGACAGAGAGACAGGGAGACACGGAGACAAGGAGACAAGGAGACACGGAGACAGGGAGACAGGGAGACAGGGAGAACGAGAGACAGAGAGACAGGGAGACAGAGAGACACGGAGACAGAGAGACAGGGAGACAGAGAGACAGGGAGACAGAGAGACAGGGAGACAGAGAGACAAGGAGACACGGAGACACGGAGACAGGTAGACACGGAGACACGGAGACAGGGAGACAGAGAGATAGGGAGACATAGAGACACGGAGACAGGGAGACATGGAGACACGGAGACAGGGAGACATGGAGACACGGAGACACGGAGACAGGTAGACACGGAGAAACAGAGACAGGGAGACAGAGAGACAGGGAGACATGGAGACACAGAGACAGGGAGACATGGTGACACGGAGACACGGAGACAGGTAGACAAGGAGACACAGAGACAGAGAGACAGGGAGACAGGGAGACAGAGAGACAGGGAGACAGAGAGACAAGGAGACAGGGAGACAAGGAGACAGGGAGACAGGGAGACACGGAGACAGGGAGACACGGAGACAGGGAGACAGGGAGACACGGAGACAAGGAGACACGGAGACACGGAGACAGGTAGACAAGGAGACACAGAGACAGAGAGACAGGGAGACAGGGAGACAGAGAGACAGGGAGACAGAGAGACAGGGAGACAGAGAGACAGGGAGACAGGGAGACAGAGAGACAGGGAGACACAGAGACACGGAGACACGGAGACAGAGAGACAGGGAGACAGGGAGACAGGGAGACAGATAGACAGGGAGACAGAGAGACAAGGAGACACGAAGACAGGGGGACAGAGAGACAGGGAGACAGGGAGACAGGTAGACACGGAGACACGGAGACAGAGAGACAGGGAGACAGGGAGACAGGGAGAAAGACGGACACGGAGACAGAGAGACACGGAGACAGGGAGACAGGGAGACACGGAGACAGGGAGACACGGAGACACGGAGACAGGGAGACAAGGAGACAGGGAGACAGGGAGACACGGAGACAGGGAGACACAGAGACACGGAGACAGGGAGACCGAGAGACACGGAGACAGGGAGACAGAGAGACAGGGAGACAGAGAGACAGGGAGACAGGGAGACAAGGAGACACGGAGACAGGGGGACAGAGAGACAGGGAGACAGGGAGACAGGGAGACACGGAGACACGGAGACAGAGAGACAGGGAGACAGGGAGACAGGGAGAAAGACGGACACGGAGACAGAGAGACAAGGAGACAGGGAGACAGGGAGACACGGAGACAGGGAGACACGGAGACACGGAGACAGGGAGACAAGGAGACAGGGAGACAGGGAGACAGGGAGACAGGGAGACAGGGAG